AAAGAAGAAAAGAGAATTGTCTACACTATTCCGTGTGTCTAGCAATTTCGCTACGGCTAACATTTCCAACTCATCTTCAAACCTCCACAGGTCCGCTTTGCCTGGATTGCAGAACAAGATGAACGACATCACAAGACGACTGGAAAGCAAACTGGTAAGCACAACAACATGTAGTATTCCTGTTTGTTTTACGTGTCCTCACTCAGTGCTGGCTGTGGATACAGGGGCCTGATACTTCCAATCTCAAGATGCGGTTTGGATTGCACAGTGTGAGTGCTAGGCCAGTCCATGAGTCTCTTCTGTTGAGAGAGAAAACCAAGTCCCTCGCATCTCACACCTCTCATCTGACTTGCAGGGTCCGGTGACTGCTGGGGTGCTACGAGGGGACAGGGTAGGTCATTCCTATGCATGTTTCCCAAGCAGTGATTCAGATATTGTGATGCTAATTTGCCACAATCAAATGCTTCTTCAACACAGGCGCGCTTCCAGCTTTTTGGTGACACTGGTAAGAAGATTAATCTTGGCGCCTGTGAAAGGTGCTCCCAAATCTGACTTCCTGAGTCTACCCTTCTCTCTTGATTGTGTAGTCAACACTGCCTCTCTATGGAATCCACGGAGTGAAGAACAGATCCAGGTTTCAGAGCCACTGCCTACTTCTCCGAAAGGCCACGAGGATTGGTTGATACCTCGAGAAGATGAGGTCAACGCAAAAGGAAAAGGTGTCATAAAGTGAGTTGGAATTGATGGTCATGGTTGGCCCCACCATGACAGGCAAACCAATGGTGAATTTGTACACACAATTGGATTCACTAACTCTTTCTTTATTTCGTTCTCAAAGGACTTACTGGCTTGTTCTCTATTCAAAGCAAGGCTCCAGTCAAGGGGACGCTTCGGAGTGTCGGTCCTCTAGAAGCGTGAGCGGGTCCGATGACTCCCCATCTCCTGATTTATCTGACCCAGAGCGCACTATTGACCAAAGCCTTGTAAATTGGACAGTGCAGGTTCTTCTGGATGATATCAAGAAGATTTTAAGTTAATTTTGCCCATTCTGTCAGTTTCTTTCTGGGTTTTGCTAATGCCTTCCATTTGATTCCAGGTCAACGCCCGTGGTACCTCCAAGACCAAGCAAAGAAAAGTAGCACCTTCCTACTTCCCACCACAAGGGCAGACATGCATTGGTGAGGTCAAGGAAATTTACGAATGCCCAGACTAGATGTCCTGAAGTCTGTGAAGGAGGAAGACTACAGGCAGATTGTCATTGATCTGTTGTTGTGAATTTCATTATGTCAGCAGGATTGCAAGCATGTACCATGAAAAAACTTCCACAACTTCAAGGTATGGAACATAGTTGTATCAGTTTTGTCAACTTCATATCCATTTGCATACTCAGCCTTTTCTTCTTTTCATCCACCACAGCATGCCTGCCGTAAGTCTGTCATGCACTTCAATCGGTCAAAGTACTCTGCCACCTCTCACATTTGCTCTTTCAGATGTTTGCATGAGCGTCAAGAAGTTGCTGAACCGCATTGTGTCAGTGTTATCTGACGATGATGCTGACAACTCCACAAGCAATCCAACTGCCAAGAAAGTTGCAATGCAACAGCTGTACGACTTAACACATGGTCTGAGTACAGACCCCATGGCCGCATTTGCGATGACATTTTCAGGCTTGATCCATGATGTGTAAGTCACCCTTGGTGCTTACGATTGTTAATCTGGCAAGATGCATCCCTCACAATGCTTTCCTGTCATTCTATCTGCGAAGGGACCACCGTGGTGTCTCCAATACGCAGCTTTCTGTAGAAGAACCTAGGCTGGCTTCAAAGTACAGCAACCAGAGCATTGCTGAACAGGTATGTGAATTAGTATCCCAGTCCGACATACTCTTTTTGTGGTCATTGCTTACCCCATCAACGTTCCACTCTAACACTGAATCGAATCTACACAGAATTCACTGGATATGGCATGGGATGTGTTGATGGAGGACTGTTACTCTAATCTTCGGCTCTGTCTTTTCACTAGCCAAGATGAACTTGTACGATTCCGTCAGCTCATTGTGAACGTTGTGCTAGCTACCGACATCTTTGATAAGGAATTGAACGACTTGCGCAAGAGACGATGGGCGCAGGCCTTTTCTGGTGAGGCAGTTGTTGGCAAGAATAGCGATCATGAGAGGGTTGGAGCTGCTGAAGATAGTGACAGACGAGCCACGATTGTTGTACGTCCTTGCTCTGAATGGTCTCAATGAGTCACATCAAAAAATGACACAGCCGCAGCTAACCCTGGCTTCTTTCTTCTTGCAGATTGAGCACATTATCCAAGCTTCTGATGTGTCTCACACAATGCAGCACTGGCATGTGTACCAGAAATGGAACAAATGCTTGTTCTTGGAGATGACGGCAGCCTTCCATGCTGGGCGTTTTGCCAAGAATCCTGCTGATTTTTGGTATAAAGGTGAGATTGGCTTCTTTGACAACTACATCATTCCTCTTGCAAAGAAGCTGGAAGACTGCGGTGTCTTTGGAGTCAGCAGTGATGAGTACCTGAACTATGCTCTCAAGAATCGCGAAGAATGGGCGGAGCGTGGAAGAGATATTGTTGCCAGCTGGGTTGCGGAAGAAAATTCATCATCATTGCAGCATGTTCCAAGCAGTATGTTGGTGGATTCACGGGAAGTGCAACCAAAAAGTTTCATTGGAGACGAATCTGGGCTTGAGACCGGCATCAGTAGTTGTGACGAAGAAGAGTCCTCGGGGTCCCCGAAAACGATCCAGAAGGAACCAGTGTACATTGACTGTTAGGGTTTATTAGATGTTTAAACAGTCAGGATCTACGAAGTCAACCGTTTTGTATCTCCCCCCCCCGTCCCGGCCGCTGATTGTAGTCTCGAGATCCAGCTAGTGTTGGTTTTACGTTTCTTTGCTCTTGGCTGTGCTCTTGGTTGGGTGTCTTGCCTGTTTGTGGAGAAAAAGCACTCCCCAAGTGGTGATGCAGTGTTTTCGAGCGATTTTCAATTTCGAAACATGCATCATTTTCGATCGTGTATACCCAGTCTTTCCACTTTCCCTCTAAGTCATTCAGTCATTTCGTTAAATAATTCCATTAAGCTCCTCAAAACGATCACTTGTGGGTATATGGACCGCGTTTGGTGTTAATGCTCTACTTTCAAATGGCAACTATAGGTTTAACACTCATCTCAAACAGATAACACAAAGAAATAATGGCTAGGTCAACTTTGAATTTCTCATTACCCATACCTTTCAATGAGTCGGTAGCGTGTGAAATGTACAACATCACATCTTGGCGACGATGCAGCGCACTGTTGAGGCAAGCGACCGACGACGTCGCCTTTCCTCGGGCTGAAATTGGCTACCTTCTTTTGCTGGGAGTCTGCTCCTTCCAATGCAATTGGATGAAAGAAGAGTTCTCACTAGCTTTCCTTTCGCGTTGACGGCACTACGCGACGGCGTGAGCAATGCGCCGCGACCGTCGACGGGGACTATACCAGTAACAGCCTCCTCGACCGTCTCGTCTTCGTTCCGGGGCCACCGCCGCCGTTGCGATACCGTAAGGTGCCGACAAGAACGCCATGTATGCAATCAAAACTTGGAGTAACATCGATTTGGCTCATTTCCTCGTCTGCACACGTTAGCGCGCCTGGGACTGTCATGTCGGAGGTTTCGTTTCGTTGCAATGTCACAGTTCTGGGCTCGCTGCTGGCTGGTATGGCAGAGGTTTTGCTGGCGCGGCTGCACCCCGTTTCGTGCACGCATCGTCTTCATCGCATTCTTCACAACTCCTCCACGGAACCAACCGGGATCTCTAAAATCGAATCATTCAGTAGCGCTGTACGATAGGCAGTACGGCACATGTATCCGTTTCTCTGGTGAGAAGATGCAGCGTACAGTCGTACTCCTGCAAAGCGGAAGTTTGGGACGATTGGACCCGCATCGTTTTTCAAGCGTAATGGGCTTTCATCGTACGGCACGCTTTGAACAAATGGGTACTAGTGCCTGATAGCGAAGGACGCAGACCTGGCAGTTAGTTGTAGCAGCTTCCAGAATGATTCAATCAACCAAGCAGCGGTGGAGCTACTGGTGCCGGTACCTGGTACTGGTAAGGGCGGTGGAACCCTCGAACCCTGGGCGACGACACCAAAGTTGGTTACTAACATACCGGTACTGGTACCGGTAAGTCTCGCTATACCGGTACGGCCATTAGATTTAACGTCTTCTCTCTATTTAAGGACCTCCTTCCTCGCTCATCGCTCACCGCTCACTCCCACAACCCCACAACAACCACGGATGCATGTGCCGGTAACACCCACTTGCACAATTCAGAACAACAGAAAGATGTCAACAGCCACTACAAGCCAAGGCGATAGGAGAGAGTCATCAGATATTGTCTACTTTCGGTTTGAAGGACAGCCAGGAACTGGAGTGGACGAAATTGATATCTCTCTCTCTCGTCAAGTTTTGCAGGCCTTTTCCGATTCGTTGCTCACCAAGTTGGCCGATGATGAGTGGAAATCGGACGAAAATAAGACGGCCGGTGAAACGGCCAGCAATCCGCTCATTACAAAGCCATTAGAGTCTCCTTGTCGTGAAGAATGGTCTCCCTGTCTGGCAGAAATGATTGCCGAAACGTACCGTTGGAAACACGCCGAACTACGAATCATTGAGGACGACCAAGCCAAAGAAGGGAATCGACCCGCACTGCCGCCCAATGTCACGCTGGAAGACGCCTTGTGTGTACTGGAATACTACGGCGTAACATTGGACGATCCCAGCATGATTAGCTTTGAAAAACTGGACACGGAATCGCAAATTCGGGCCAAATTGTTTCTCAAGGATTTAGCACTGATTGACGATGCTGCTGATTTAGTGCTAGAGGAGTTGAAGCAGAATCCTCAACGAGAAACCTTGTTCCTATTTGCCAAAAGGTGCCACAATATGCAATACATCAACACACACAATTATCTCGGCGTCATATACGAACCGCGCAAATTTGTACGCGTGGGGAATGACCTAGAATGCAATCTACATTTTGGTTGGGCTCAGGATGATTTTCACAGAGAGCATTTCATTGAACAAATCAGAAAGGAATTGCCATCGTTTGACGTGGAATACATGAAATCGCTTGTTCCAGATGAAAGTTGGTACGAGGGAGAATTGGCATTGGGGGCACCCGATCCGGATTCGGGATGCTGGGTTTCCACAAGGCAGGACCAGTTCAATAGCTGGCAATCGTACGAAGACATGGTGGTATTGCGTGTCTGTGTTCCTGTTAGAAAGGCCCAGAAGCGTCCCCGAGATGACGTGTGAGACAGATACCTTGGGGTTAACTGGTTGGCGGACACAACAAACCACGACGACTAACGCTATGCGTTTGAAAAATCTAGTAGTCTCGTGGCGACTCACTCGTCCAGACTGAGAGTCGTTTCTGATCAATCAAAGTCAATTAAGTTTACACAAATTTATGGCATTTTGCAGAGGATAACATCATCGTGAATCTAACTCGTTTTAAATAAAACGCAGCCGTGAACCACTGCTATAACCGTTTTAATGCGGTGATTCGATTCGATTCAGTTCAGTTCAAGCAAGGGGCATCTCCTAAAGCTGACCACGCACCGGACGTTTGTCGCCCCATCATTTTGTTAAAAAACTCAGAAACATGCTCGGGGCTATCATCAATATCGACATGCCGCAGATCCACTTTGGGTGCTATAAAGAGGGCAAAGACAGCTGTGAATCCCTGAAGCGCAGCTTTGCCTCGTTGAAACAGATTGCGAGATGGATCAGCATCGGGGGCTGGCGCAGTTGCCAATGGACCAATTTCACCCCCAGCATAGAATCCAACACATGGCACCTTGGCACCAAAAGCTGAACTGAAAGCGTTGGCATCCGCCATTTCACGGCGCAACAACCATCCAGCGTCTGGCCCACGTCCGGCGCACGACACCATAATTGCGGCGAGGACATTCTCCTTATCGTTTTGCACAACTTGGGCTTGCAATTGTCGCATTGTGGTCTCGACGTGTTCTGCACAAGCGTCCCCATCAAGAGCAAAGAAATCGACCTGTGCTTGATTCAAATCGTCGCCGTTGTTGTGTGGCTGTGGATCCGCTGTTGCCGTCGTCAAAACCTGCGCCATGCCATGAGACATTGACAAACCCGTTCGTTGCGTGAACATGTCGGAATTGTTGACTGGGATCTTCAGTTTGTCCCCGTGCAAATCCAAGGCGTACAGCTCGTAGACATCCTCATATACATATGCCTGTGTTGATCCTTCTTGGGATACCAATTTGCGTCGACGGACACCACAAAAATCGGGTGAATCGCCCCGTTGCTGGGCCGCCGCAAGGAAGCTCATGACATCCCATGGTTTCTTGTCGTCTTGCTTGTCAACGACAGTATCAACGACGTGAAAACCCGGTGCAACCGTACGCATCTGTCGATGTTCCCAGTTGTGAGTCACAGCCGGCCCCAACAAGCGGGACTCTTGGATTTGCAAAACAGTATCCGGTGGTGTCAAACGTCGAACACCTCTGGAAACCACACTTTGAATGGGTACATTTCCTCCCAGAGCCACACCGAACACGGCATCTTCCAAATGTGGCTCGAGTACGTATGGTCTGGATTGTAGCAGTTCATAGACATAATCGACCAGAGTTTGTTTTTCGGTCACAGTCGTCAAAACCGATTTGTTCCCTCCAAGATTGACGTACATTTGCTTGAGTACGGCCACTCGTTTGGAGCTCAACATGCCACGATCCATTTCTTGCAAATTCACCGCCTTGGAGACGTATCCCGAGGCGCAAATTCCTCCCACAATGGCAGCTTGTGGATGGAGTGCCTGGACGCACTGCACAAATTCTTCCAAAATACCACATCCATCGCCGCAGCCATAAACCATAAAGACTTGGTAGCTGTTGGTGGACGCATCGAAAGCTTCTCGTACTTGATTCTCCACGGCACCTTCCCATTCGATGCCATGACGACCTTGTGCTTGCCAGACAAATGGCTGAATGGTGGCATCCGTGCCCAAATTTCCCAGCAATACATTCGCACGTGACGTAGATTCGACCTTTCCATCGAGACAGGTTTGAATGGACTGACTGACAGCTCCCAAGATGACGGTGGAGGAAGGAAGCTGAGGCGCCACTTCTTCGCCGATCGTGCTTCGTTCCGTGTTGTAGCACAGAGCCAGCGTGGGAGATTGTCGTAGACCGTAGAGTGCCGTCAAGACGGGGGTAGCCGAAGCTCCAGCAACCATTTCAGGACCTAAGACACGACGGAGATGATGGATCAAATAGTAGTATCGCTTGGACGTCTGCATCCAAGAAGCAGCGTCCAAGACGGACAAATACTGCGCAATGTGCAGTACCAAATCCGAGTTGAGGGTATCCATGATACTGTACTTTGTTTCCGAGGAACTGTTGGCTCCTACCTGAACTGTTGGCTGCTGATATCAAATGCAACAACTCTCGCTGCGACTGTATCCTTCGATCAATCAATTGATTTGCAACAAACGACAACGGAACGTTTGTTGGGTGCATGGATCTTCTGCCCTTGGAGAAAATAAATAAGTCAGCGGGAGCTGCGATACCTCGGCAGAAGACAGATAGAAGAAGGATGACATGTTTGAGATTGCACCCTTCTTTCAAGGTAGCCCTGGCGACAACACCCGGCGATTATAACCTTCTTTTTTATTTAAGCTAGCCCTGGCGACAACACCCGACTTCGTCGTACGTTGCCGCCCACTATCATTCCCTCATTGTAACCTTCTGTTTTATATTAAGCTAGCCTTGGCGTTGCCACGGGCTAACCCATAATTTACAGCTATCATTCGATCGTGTAACTCTAGATTTACAACACGTGCTGGCTTATTGTGTTTCTGTTCTGAGTGCACTAACCTTAAATTATATTGATATATTCCCACCCCTAACTTATTATTGAACCTTCAATTTCCAGTTTTGCCAACTTAAATTATCTCTATCCTTATACCCTGGCTTCACCGGAATAGGGGATCCCACAGACAGGAAATGAGGAGGATCCCACAAACACAAAACAAGGGGATCCCACAGACAGAATATTTGCCATTAAAGGGGTAGAGGGCTCAGGCAGATAGACTGCCAAGGTAAAGGGGTTGAGAACTCAGGCAGTTTACCTGCCGAGGTAAAAGGGGTAGAGGGCTCAGGCAGATAGACTGCCGAGGTAATAGGAAATACCAATAAGTCAGCGGGAGCTGCGATACCTCGGCAGAAAGACAGATAGAAGAAGGAGGATTATGTTCGGATTGCACCCATCTTTCAAGCTAGCCCTGGCGACAACACTCAACTACATCGTGTGTTGCCGCCTGATATCATTCATTCCCTCATTGCAACCTTCTTTTTATTTTAAAAGCTAGTCCTGGCGACAACACCCGACTACGTCGTGTGTTGCCGCCCGCTACTCTATAATTTATCAGCTGCCATTCCCTTATTGTAACTCTAACCTTTACAGCTCCTGCTCGCTTATTGTGCTGTTGTGATTATTGCACTAACCTTAAATATTTATGATTTATTCCTACCCCTAACTTGTATTGAGCCTTTGATTTTCAGTTTTGTTGGCTTATGACTATCTCTATCCCTATACTTTGGCTTCACCAGAATAGGAAATAGGAAATTTGGCTTTTTTTCAGCTTTCGTCTCCTGTTTCCTCAGTTTGCTGGCTACTGGGATCCATATGCAATTCAGCCATTGCAGCCAGCTACGGTACCCTAGGCAGAGAGTTACATCGATCCGTGACAGTGGCAACAGTACCGAACACACTCATGTTCCGCTATACTGGCTACACTCCGTTACCGGTACCTTTCATTGGATCCTTATGACGAATACATGCACAACTGAACATTGTCAATCCAGCCATCGTAGCCAGCTACCGTAGAGTTCATCGATCAGTGACAGTGGCAACAGTACCGAACACACTCAGGTTCGACTTTGCTCGCTGCACTCCGTTACCTCGCATTGGATCCTTATGACGAATACACGCACAACCGAATATTGTCAATTGCGACAATACCATTGTGGATTGATTAATCTAACGATCTAAGAGATGTAAAGTTTGTATTTCCAAATAAGTGAGCAGTTATTGATTATTTTCTAGAATAAGCCTGCTAATTGTAAAGCTGGCTTTACTGGCTACACTCCATTACCGGTACCTCGCATTGGATCCTTATGACGAATACATGCACAGCCGAATATTGTCAATACAGCCATTGTAGCCGGCAGCAGTATAGCTACATCCACGACAGTGGCAACAGTACCGAAAGTTCGGCTTTGCTCGCTACGGTTACCTGTACCTCTCATTGGATCCTTATGACGAATACATGCACAACCGAATATTGTCAATCCAGCCATTGTAGCCAGTTACCGTAGAGTTACATCAGTCGGTGACAGTGGCAACAGTACCGAACACACTCAGGTTCGGTTTTGCTCGTTACGCTCCATTGCCTCACCATTACAATGAATACAGGAATATTGTCAATCCATGCTCCACCAAGTCCTCGACGACCGACTTGTGCATACAGGAGAATGGGTACCGACACAGGAATCACCAACCAAACACTAGGAAATAACACTGGAGGGATGAATCCAGTAGTAGGATCCAGTCTCTTGGTGTGTGTTGTCGCGTAGCCTCCTCTTGTTGCCTTTCAATGACTCGACGACGATCTCCACCGTTCAGACTGTTGGTAGGGCTGGAGTTAACAGAACCTCCTCTTGTTCTCCGGAGCGATCTCCTCTCTTGTTGTTATCCGGATCGTCGTTCGTTCGACCTCGACAATGGGATTTCCTCGGCCGTCGGCAGTGCAGCAGAGAAAACAACAAATAGATATGAGTTTTGTTTTCTGTGCTCAACAGCAGACGACCGGAGACTTACTCTTGTTTTTCAAATTGCACCAACTTGGCCATCATGGGCCGAGAACTGACTGCCATCCCATGGTCCATAGGATTCAATGAGGGATGGTTTTCCAATCTGCACCAGAGACAGCCGGCTTGGCTTGGATAACAGAGGTGCGACCGATCGATTCGATTCGAATAATTAAAACAACTCACCTGTTGACGGCCGAGCTCGGAATTCTCTCCTGTTTATCATAGGAATTGAATGAGGGAGAGAAGTCAGCGCTGTACCTTCAAGTAACACTCTTGATAATACGCTTACCTCGAATCGATTCGATCGATCGGCCGATTGGATAAAGCACTCACCATGCATTGTTGTCGGCCAAGTTTGGTTTACCTCCTGTTTACCATACGAATTCAATGAGGGAGAGAAGTCAGTGCTGTGCCTTCAATAATAATGGACTTTCGCTTCAATCGGTTTATCCTTAACCTTAGTAACTTCAACGGTCATTTTTCCACGAATCGATCTATTTTTGTCGAACAAGAACCTGTTACTTATGGATACACATGACCGTTGATTCTGCAACTGAAGTGCGGCTACTCTATTTCACACAGTAAACGCCGGCAAATCGGTTCCAGAGTGCAACTGAGGGGGTAACCAAAAGGTGCGCCGTCTCAAGGAGACGGAATTCAGCAGGTTTCTGACACCATAAGAAAAACTTCTCTGTCAGAGACCTTCTGAATCATTTTGAAAGAAAGTTCAACTTCAGTCCTGAGTTCAGTCTTGGAATTTCAGTAGAGCTCTACGTAGTGTTCCTGTACAATGGACAACCATAACTGAGTATAATTAGAATGTCAGAAGCCCTTCTTAAAGTCTAAGAAGGCTTCTGAACACCTCATGAGCCTTCTGGATTCTTAAGAGTGCTTCTGAAGCTTTCAGAAAGTTCACCCTGGAGAGCCAGCAGGCAGATTTATAACCCCCATTTCGAAAAAAAGGTATGCAAAAGAGTGAAAACATCCTTAATTGAAGCTTTTTACCTGGAGGTGCTGATTCACAATTTCCTACTGGCATCTTATCTACTAGTAGCTGGTTCAATCTGTAGCTAGAGCTAGTACGTAGGGTTTCTGACTTTCATCATTCTTTCTGAAATTGAGATTCGGCCTTTTGGCCATTCTTCTCTCGAAATGAGTCTTTCTTGCATTTATTTTTCATGAGGGGCTGAAGACTCCGTAGCTACTGTAGGCACTGTAGGATGCATAGACCTAGTAGCTAGACAGGTGACCACCGCCCTGATCCGCTTTGTTCTTGTTGTCTAAATATCTAGCATGGAGGTCGCACTATAATGTTAATCAGTACGATCCTTGTTCACCTCTCGTCACGACTTAGCTCTCTGACATCCAAGATCCAAAGATTGCGATCTTCTGCGGTGGTTGGTGGTTTGGCTCTTGGTTGATCAGCGCCCTTTTCCCCTTACTAGTACCCTCATTCTTTTCCCTCTCAACTTCGCCCTTCATCACATCACACACTACGATTATTTGGTACGAGCACCATGCGCATTAGCTTATCCAACGCTTCGGCGGCCTTGCTGTTGTTGGCTTCGTTTGGCACTTTGGCCGCCGCCGAAAGGTATTGTTTCGATGACACCCGCTTCACCGAGGCGGACTGGGCCTTTTGCCAGCAGATTCAGCCAGACTTGTTCATGTACTACACGCCCTTTCCCGAGGAGGGAAACGTCATGTTAGGCCTCCATGCTACCCGCGATACCTTTGGATGGACGGCCCTTGCCCTTGCGGGAAATGGTGGCATGAAGGGGGCTAGTCAGGTGGTAGTACGTCAAGAAAATGGCGAGTGGATTGCCGAAGACAGGCATTCGCGAGACTATGTGACTCCCTCTTTGGATGCCTCTCAGGATGTCAAGCTTCTCTTTGCGAATCAGACATCGTGTGGTGAAACCTCCTGGGGTGTCCTCATACCCATGAACTCTTGTGACGATGATGACTATCCGATTGAAGATATTAGCGTCTTTATGCATTGGGCTTTTGGTGACGGCCATACATTTGGATTTCATGGCAGCCGTCGAGGACAGTTCCACGCCAATCTAATGAGAGCTCCCAAGGATGTACCCAGTACAGATGGATTGCCATACCTGGATATTCTCATGCCGGATGTACCCGTTGTGGTTGGAGAGGGAGGCAGTGATCCAACCAATCCTTACATTTGCAGTTTCTTTGATATTAGCCAGCTACCCAAATCCAATACCAACGAGGAGCTCGGACCTGGCTCCAAAGTTCATGTGACTCGATTCTCACCTGTTCTTGATGAAGATTCGAAGCAATTCGTACACCACATGATCTTGTATGCCTGTGGAGGCGACGACGACAGCGACGACGACGATGACGAAGATGACGAATCAAGTGTACCAGCAGCGCATCACAGTATTATCCCCGAATGCGAAAGTATGCCCAGTGGGTGCTCCATCATGAAATGGCCTTGGGCAGTGGGTAGTGAAGATATCATCTTTCCTGAAGATGTGGGTCTTCCCTTTGGAGGAGAGCAGACCATGCTGGTCTTGCAGATGCACTACTACAACCCGAATTTGGTTGAAGACATCAGAGATAGCAGCGGTGTTCGAGTATACTTCACAACCGAGTTACGACCCGAAGAAGCTGGTGTTATTGCGCTGAATGGTGGCACGGGTAAGTAGTGGATGTGGTTTTGTTCGCATGTAAATGTCGATTCGATTGAGTGTCGGACACTAATTTTGGTTGCTTCCTGTGATTGAAACAAATCTTAACTTAGGCCCCTGGCAGCGACCCTCCGTCCCTGCTGGACAGTCGGATTATGCATTGGACCCCATGGTCATTCCGTCCAGTTGCACGAATTACAATTGGCGCGAACCAATCACTGTGCTGGGTGTCATCCATCACATGCACTTGGCGGGGCTCAACATGGATATCAACGTTGAAAGAGACGGAAGGAGTCTAGGTCCTTTGAGACATGAAAAGTTTTATGACTTTAATCATCAGTCCTTGGAAGAATCGCCGCTGGGCAAGCTCGATCCAGGTGATCAACTTGTAATGAATTGCCACTATGATACTACCGGGGTGACCGAAGACATTTCGTTTGGAGATCTGACACAACAGGTAGGTATCCGTCTCGAAAACTCCCTCCTTGCTGCATCATCACTTGTCAGTTATCTCAACTATGTGTTTCGCCGACGCGCTTACTTACTCTCAGGAGATGTGCTATGCCATTATGATGGTATATCCCGTACAAGACGTGGACGACTACAGTTACACGCCGGTTGCTTTCAACACGGAACAATGCTTCACAGCCGGCACTGGAGCATTCGCAAATGTCAGTGCTTGCACTGAAAATTACATGGAGAGCGTCCCAACGTTCTTTGACTTTCGAAACAACGTTGAAGATGATTTCGGTGCTTTCGACATGTGCAATTCGGACTGGTACGAATCATTACTCTTGCCCTATCTGCCTGCCAGTTGTCCCGACTGCTACAAGAACAGCAACTGCACTGCAGAGGAAGTTGCTATTCACGCTCAAACTGTGGTTTGCCCGAACCAATGTAATATGATGGGGGCGTCCGTCTACCCCAATGTCAGTCAAACAGAAGCGTACGCTTCGGGTGTCTGGGGTTGTAGCGAGAATGGGCCTGCGTCGCCTGAGTTTGGCTGGGTCCAATACACCAGAGCGATTGAAATGCAAGAAGCCAACTGTACAGCCCGCGGAGATTTGTCGCAGGTCGTTGAACTCGCGGATGTTCCTGTCGGTGCTGACGAATCTGCCGCTGATTGCGGGGCGGTATCTGGAAGCACGAAACTCATGTTGGGAGGCGCCCTCGTTGGAACATTTGTGGCCGTCTTTACCATGCTCTAAACGCAGTCAGGCCACAATGATGCTCAAAGATGTATATACATAATAAGTCAAACGTTTTCAAATTTTATTTTATAATAGCCACTTATTCCATAACTAGAGAGGGTTTCTCTGCTTCGAGCCACGGGTCCTCCTTTCCCGCTCGTGGTGCAAAAACTCCTGGCCTCTCGTCCTTCTATGTCGCAGCAGCGACACATCATACAATCATGTTGGATTGGAAGAGTTCCAACACTTGCTCCCATCAAGTCTAAAATGACAAACCTACTCCTTCCTGTTCCTAATTGTTGCTTGCCATGTGCTTGCTAGCTATTATAGCCAACTCCGTTCAACAAAGAGGGTATCATCTTTGAGCAACGTGTTACAGGACTCCATTTCAATGACTTCGCCCTTTTTGGGATGGTGCTTTTGTCCCAGACACTTGCCACTCTGTGAAATGGAGAATTTCTCGCTCGATCTGGATCCATGAGATGTGTAGAATCGCTGCGTTGGATTGGACCGGTCGCATATCCGCATTCGCACGGCATTGTTGTTGATGCGTTCCAGACACGTGCCCGTTCCGGGCGATTTGACCAAGAATTCGCCCCCATTCACGTCTTCAAAGGTCCACATTTGTCGTGGATCATCCACCTTGCAGCGCGTAATGTAAACGGCGTCGGGCAGACAGGGACCAAACATTCTGTTTCCGTACCAGCAAACGCCAAAGCTCTTGAGACCTAAATAGTTTCGCGTCCAGCAAAACTCTTTAAACTCGTAGTCTCGCCCCTGCCAACTGTAGTTGTCCCCAAAGTACATTTTGATTTTGAAGGTACTGCAAAAGCAGAGAAGAGACGTGAGGACATTAAAGAGCACCATGGTTGTTGTTTGTTGCTCAACAAGTTGTTCGGTTCCAACCAGGCAAACAACCAACAAAAAGTGTTTTGGAAAAGCAGTCCTCTCACTTTTTTGTTTTTGGCGAAAAATGTGAGTTCCGAGATGGCGAAGAGAGGACTGTTCCGAAGCGGCCGTTAAATTATGTATTGTACCAGTATCACTGACGTCATGATGGCGTGGAGCAAAAGAACAGTTGAGCTTCACGAGAATGAATCAATCTAAACCAGCTCATGCTGGCTTGAATTCATCCACAACCCGGAAACTGGAGCACAGGAGCCAACGGACGAGCTGCCACCTTCCACCGTAACCATTTGAGTCGAGTCCAAGCACAGTTAGTTAGTTAGTTGTTGTTGGGAAGAAAGAATGGAGTCTGTTACTGATGGATTAGTGTGTCAAGGTGAAACAGGGGCTGATGATGACTGGTCCATTCCAGGCACTGTGGAAGACGCACGAACCCGGTTGACGCAGCTGTTTGGCCAGAGCAACAAGGATGCTGCTTCCGCCCCGTTAAACAGTTCCAGAGGCCTCGAGTTTGTGGTAGCGCTCCTGCAAAGCTACCCCGATTTGGCCAAGGAAGCCTTTTCGTTTGGTTGTTCCAAGATGCAGCGAAGCCTTTGGGTCCGACGCGTCAAGAGAGAACCTCGTCTTCGACAGAGTCTCTCTCCCAACAGCATTCTGATCCAGCTACCTCCTCTCTGCCATGTCTTGCGCTTGGAAGCAATCACTCTTAGTGTAGTCCAAACAATTCACCAATTGGCTCCGGATGTCATCAAGACTTGGGATTCCACAGATCACGGATTACTACCTCTTCATGTCGCCTGCTTTTATCAAAACGTGGCGACCGACCTGGAGATTGTTCACTATCTCACCACGCAATATCCCAACGCCATTACGCGGGCGGGAAAAAACGTCAATGTCCCCTTTGTCGTCTACATGGAACAGTGCATTTTGAAAAATAATAACATTGAAACCAACACCCTGAGACGAACGTCGGTCGATTCCACGTTAGAGGACAGCAGTCGAGACAATATCAATCTCATGGATCCAGCCGTCTTTGACGCACACCACAAGGCACTCTGCGATTTGCTACTCACGGGGGATTATTTTACTCAACAAACTGGAATTGTCAATATCCTGCTGCGGGCCATTCAAGCCAATTGTCCTCCGTTGATAGTCTACTTGATGGCCAAGGCACCACCCAAGCTATGGGCCGAAGAATTTATTGTCACGGCCCGCAATTTTGACTTGTGCGTCGCCAAGGGATTGGAGGTCATGGTGATGGCGGGCGGATCATCTACTTCTACGATGATTGGTCCATCCGATATCAAAATATCCTTTGACAAAAACATGACGTACAAAGCCTTTCAACACATTATGCAGATTGTGGCCGCCACGTCCCGTCTTGAAACACTCACCGTCATGCTACCCAACAACAACAATACCGCAGCAAGTGATGATCGAATGGAACAATTGCAAATTTGGCATGCTCTCACGGATGGACTGCGTCAGAATCAATCCTTGAAACACATTCGAATCAAAGGCAACCACTTTGAAGCGGCGGCCGATCTCGTTTCCTACATGACTCTCCTCCAACACGCACCCAAAAGTCTCGACTTGGATGCCTGTCACATTCAACGATCACTTCCTCTCTCGGCACCACTCGACGAATCATTATGGAAATCGTGTCGATTGGCGCGATTGGAATTGAGTTCGTGTCAATTCGAACTCGAATCGACATTTACGGCGTTTTTGCGAAAGCTGCCTCTGCTGCCAGCACTCAAGGAATTGTCCATTTACTATACAGGAGAATCCTTGTCGGTAGAGGCATCCAAGCAAGTCACAGAAGCGATTGAGAAGATTTTGTTGAAACAACAACAACAAACTCTGCAAGATCTTTCCATTCAGGAATTGCAGCTCTCCAACATTCCACTCTTTAGCAAGGCATTAGAGAGCAATACGAGTTTGAAAAGCTTGCAGTTGACATTTGATCATTGGCTGGATGTGGAAGTCATTGCGAGGGCGTTGAAACGGGACAACACGACGCTGCAGTCGTTTCGGTATAATATTGAAGGATCCGACGAGGATGGGGAACCACGGTGGGGTTACGGGAATATACAATACTACCTGTTGTTAAACGAGTACGGGAGGGATCTTCTCGGGCGTTACAACGAGGAGGATGAAATGTCGGCAGGTTCTTTGCTCTTGGGTCTCGTCTCGAAAGTCTTGAAAGACGATGAGAAACTGGAAGAATATCCAGAGGGGTTGACGAATATACTCTATGGCTTGTTGAGTCATCGGCCTTGTGTTTTGGCAACGGCGCTGCTTCCTACGTCCCAAGAAAAGACACATCAAAATGGAAAACGAAAAGCAGAGACCGGTCTTGATGGCGGATCCGCAAAGATACCAAGAGCGAAATAAGGCAGCGCGATACATCAGAATAAAAGACGAGTGTTGGGGGACGGTTGGATCCTTCCATCAGATTTTCTTCCGTGCAATGGGTGCGAGTCGAGTCAGAGTCCGCAGCCCGTCATTGAGGAATGGGAGAGGAGCCGAGAGCTGAAAGGGTCCAAGTGACAACTTGGGATGCAAGGATCCAGGCTTGCCACGGATGTAGACTACTTTGATTTCGAACTAGTTGGTGTAAAATTTACTTTAAAATCCCGTCACTCTTTGCTAAAATCGTATGAGCTAGAACTATGACTACAACTAGTCTACTATAGAATGAAGACCTGTTTTTTGTTGTTGCAAGATTCTCTACTATGTGTTATTGTTCTATGTATATGTTTTGGTTGTATTTAAAAGATTGTAGCATCAACAATGATAGAGGTTGGTTGTCAGGTGTCACGGGTATTAACTTTGGACTTTCGTCGCGTGGAGGACGTTCGGACAAGCACTCTGCAATAGAGGCTGCCTAGCACAGGAACCACAAACCTGGCTACCTTCGATGTGACCCTTCGATTGAACCAACTGTATTCATCTCCGCAAAAATTGTTGTATAGCCCTGCACCCCACCAGATGCTTGCTCATTGTGTATTGTATTCATGTGTTAGTAGTCCCCTCTCCGTCGTCGCCCCCCTTACTCACTTACCTGTTGTCCTAGACTGGAATGTACCGGTCAGGCTTTCTTACTCGCCGTCCAGAAAGCGTTGTTGTCGTTTGAACTGTTGTTTGCTGCTGTGTGTCCGTCACAGGTTGTGCCGTCGTCTTCTTCTTGCCCTTCGTCTTTGGCTTTGTCGACTTTTTCTTGGTGGCCGTCGCGCGTCTACGTTTAATTCTAGGTTGTTCTGCCACCCGCCGGGGCTTTGCCTTGACTTGTTCAGCGATTCTCTGAGATGCAATTGCCGCCATGCGTCTCTTTGATCGTCGCAAAGTTGATTGTGCTGTGTCCACATTGTCCTCCTCATCGACTCGGTTGTCGACCAGTGGTTCTTCAGCATCAACTTGCTGTTGTTGTTCCTTGACCTCTGCCTCGACCAGTGGTTCTTCAGCCTCCATTTGGCCAGTCACGAATTCGTAATAAGTATCGTCCGAGGCAACGCCTGCCTCCAATCGTAGTGTTTTGTGCCGCCGCATCAATTCCTCGACAAGGTCTCCACAATCCTTCATCAATGCTGCGAGAATGTTGTTGGGTTCCACTCCAAGTAGCACGCCACTCATCATTCGCATCTCCAATACAAATGGTTGTCGTCCATGCACACTGATCTTGAAGTGTTTCACATGCCACTTTTGAATGTATGGTACCACTGCTGTGCATGTGGGAACCACCCCTGCTTCGCATGTGATTGTGGCATCGGATGCCATCTTGTTGTCGTCGTCGACGATCGAGACTTTTTCTATTGCCTCGACGTCTTTAGTTGTTGTTGGTTGTTGTTCTACTACTACGGGTGCTGCATCTTCCATGCAGAAGTCCTTGACCTTGCGATAGACAAATCGTCGGTTGGCAATCTGTTCTCGCGTATTCAAGGTGCAAATTTCGTCGTCAGCGTTGCGCTGAATTCCTCCGTGGTGCAAGTGGCACATGGCAAGTTCGAACATGTAAGGGTTCTTTTCGTTGACCATGAACCAGTGGGAAACTTTCTTGTCATTTCCTTTCTTCGCCTGGATGAAACGAACAAGTCCCTCGAGGTCTTGATGCACGGCATCAATTTGAATGTACAGTTTGGCTTTTTGTAGGTATGCTTTGTCGCTTTGGAACCATTTGTTGTTGGTGATCCATTTGGCCACTTGTTGGTATCCGTACTCTTGAATCAACTGGACAAGATCCAAGACGCGTTCGTGGGGTGTGGGAGTGCCGACGGAAATGAATTGTTGTTGGGCTTCCTGCCAGTATTCGTCTCGGGCCTGTGGCACATGTTTGTTCATGTCTCGATAGACACGGCGGTTCTCAGCTTGTTCGCTCTTGTCAGAAGAGTACCCCACTACAGTGTTGACGGGAGCAAAGGATAAACGGTTTCCATTGCTCCGTTCGGTGTCTTGGCCGTAATGGGTCTTCCAGCGAGCGTTGGCTGAATGACTGGTTTGGATGTGACAGCCTTTGGGCCGGTGCTGGTTGTATTTGTCGTATCCGTAGTGACCATGCTGATCCGCAGGAACCAGGGAAAGGTCGTAGGCACCTAGGCAGCGACCGTGCTGCTGGAATTCCACATCAGGATTCGTTCCGTACGTGTGCAACAGTGCCGCGGTTTCGACGCATGTCTTGTCCAACTCGTCCAGTTGGAATGTTGGGACTTCCTCTGCTGCAGGAACATCCTTGTTGTCGTTGTTGTTGCCCGTCATCTCATTGGCGACCTTGAGAACGGGGGTCTTCTTGGTGTTGCTGTTGTTGTTGTCGGTGGTCCATGACCACGAGAGCAGCTTGATGATAGAAGAAGAGAACTTCATTTTGCAATTGATAGGTATTGAATAGAAGATTGATAGAAAAGGTAAAAGTAGACTTGAATAAGGTCTGGGGGGTTGATCTGGCCTAGGCTTATCAACAATCGCGAAAGTCTTCCTTGTTCGGTTGGGTATGCAACTCTAGCAATCCGGTTGAACAAAAAAGTGAGCCCATCATGGTGACATCCCATTTTTCCACCTCCAAAATCAGATGACAGATTCTGCCAGATGGAAAACAACAGGTGACAAGATGAGACTGGGCCACTGATGAGCACTGATTTCATGCTCTATACTACCAAATAACACCCAACAAGGCACTTTCTGGGCCTCTCAGAGTGGTCTTGATGCTACCTGGGTGCTTGGTTGTTGTTGTCTGCCTCGGCGGTGTCCTCTTCGGAGGATGCGGTGCTGTCGTTGCAACTCCGGAAAAAAAGACGCTGCGGGGACGGGTTCCGACCGCTGAAGCCACGTTTAGCCTGAACCCTAGAACGTCATTTTGAAATAATTGAAATCCTGCGCGGCGAAGACTGGCTGAGTCACTCGTGACTCACCTGGAGAAGCATAAGCACGCACGCCCCTACCGGTACGAAACTTGACACCGATAAAAATGACAGAGGGCAGGCGACTGTGATACAGTAGGTACTAACTAGTACAGTAACCGAGGGGGTGATAATTAGTGTGGTTTCAGTGTTTCAGGAACTTGCTTTCTAAAGAGATCTGTGCTGCTTTCGACGATATGTTGCTCCTCATTCCGCTCCCGAAGCAACGAGATTGGAGTTCAGAAGCAGCTATCCCAGTTCCCAGGTGCATGCGAAACAAGACCATGGCGCAAACAGTCAACCTGAGGAAAATTCTAGTTCTTATTGTTTCGTTCATTGGCTACTGGTAAGCAACATCTTTCTTGCTGATTTGATTCGATCATCAGCTGCGCTACCACTATGGCCTCGAGCTCTTTGCCTGCTGCATTAATCCGCACATGAAGCAGCGTTCCCGTTTTACCCAGATTGATTCCTGAGGCTGCCATCTCTGCTGCATGGCAAGGTCGTTCCAAGACCTGAGGGACGGATAGGCACATGACTGAGTTTACCAAATTTTCTAGCCAGCCGACCCTTGGTGACATACACGACGATCCTTGGTGGCCGATACGATATCACGTTGTCTGGCTCTGGATGGCGATCACCAAATACGACACTTCGTATTGTTGTGTCTGGTTTAACCCGCTAGTCATGTGGCTCAAGTTTGCGAACAGAAAATCTGACAAACTCAGGGAATGTCACCCAGCGTGACTCCGCGTCTCCAGTCACCCACTTCGACAACGCCTCTTCGTAGCCCATCCACTCTGCTAGCGATTTGTCATCAAGGGGTTGATCTCGTTGCCTCATCAACTCGTCGCGGAGTTCCGCTAGTTTCACCTCTCCATTTTCATTCTTGTCCAGACTAGTGGAGAAGACATCGTAAAGCTCTTTCAACTCTTCGGGAGTTTTTTCGCATTCAAAAGCAAGATCAGCAAGTTCGAGTTCTGTGAATGGCAATTCACAGTTGTCTTCGTCGCATTTACCGTTGGCCAATAGAGCGTCCTTCATCAAAGCTACCGACGTGTCACCGTATCGACTGACAAGAGTTCGCAGTGCCTCTGCTACCTTCTCAGTTTCAACAATCACATCTGTTGCACCCGCCTCCGACAGGCGTTTCGCAGATTCAAATCGACCTGTGCGAACGTAAATAGGAACGGTTGGAAAGGCTTCTCGCAGCCTGATGGTCGCCTCCAAACATCTTCCTTCGCTCTTGTACACGACAGCAAACGCAGATGGCTTCTTCACTCCAGAAGCTCGAATGAGGGATGGAGAGGCACCGTTCCCGTACACTACGCTGGCTCCATTCAACACTCCAAGAGAAATACGTTCCGGATGTTGCGAAAAAGCAACGTATGGTACCCCACCGCCAATTCCAGCCTTATTCGCCTCGTCCAGTGCCGCGCAGAGCTTCTGTCCCACCTGCCCATAGCCACAAACCACAACTGCGTTTGACAGAGATTGAGTTTTTTTGCTTGCCTCGACCGATTTATTGACTTCGATAATGCCACCTCTTCGTTTGGCTGTCCATAGCGCCGCGAACTCGTCGAATTGTAGCATCCCATCTCCATTGTCATCGAACCGTGCAATCACAGCTTCAACTTCTTCCTTGGAAAGCATGGTGTTCGTTCCTGGCTTGGTAAGGACCAATTGCAGCTCGTCAGCGCATATAGCTCCGTTGCCGTCTTCATCAAAGGTTTCAAATGCCTCTCGAATCATTTCTTCATCGTTAAGGTTGACATCGTAATCTTTGGTCTCCCCATTCACTCCATTGAGTTTGGGAATGCTGGCCTCTCCTTCAAGTTCATCCAGCTTGTCGCCGACAGCCTGTGCCACCATGCCCAAGATGGGTGTCAGCGACATGGAAATGACAACCGATGCGGTGAGGAGTTTGGCCAAATCAGGAGGGAGGCCCCCGAGGTCTTCTGCGAGTTTGAAGACCACAAAAGCAAACTCTCCTCCTCCGGCCAGCAAGAGTGCCACTCGTGCTGAATCAGCTCGTGTTAGCCCCAAAGCAAACTCTCCGGCAGCAAAGATGATGGCTAACTTGATCCCAATAAAGGTAGCAATCCCCGCCAGGAGCGTAGGCCATTGCTCGATACAAGTCATTGGATCGAGCGACGCACCGGCCGTGACGAAAAAGACACCCAACAGGATTCCCTCAAAGGGTTTAATGTCAGCTTCGATTTGAGCCCGATAACCCGACTCTGCCAAGATGACGCCTGCCGCAAATGCGCCCGTTGTGGACGACAAACCCAAATCATCGGCAATGACACCCATCCCCACTGCCACCAAAAGGGATGCCGCCACAAAAGTTTGTGAAGAGCCATAGCTAGCCACTACCTGAAAGATTTGTCGCAAAATGACCGACGCCAATACCAAAACGGACCCAAAACCAATTGTTGCTTTGGCTGCCAAGATTCCGACTGCGGTTGGATCTTGAATACTGCCCCCATTACTTTCGTATTCGGCAATCAAGGGCAATGCCACCAGCAACGGTGCCACTGCTAAATCCTGCAACAACAAGATACTCAGAGCAGCAATGCCATCGGCACGTTTTTCCCATCCTTTTTCCTTCAAAATTGGCAATACAAAGGCACTGGAAGACAAGGCTCCTGCTGCCGCAATGCTAAAGGCAATGACTGGTTTTTCCAATAACTGGAGTGTTTGGGAATCAATAGGTACCTTCAAGTCTTGGACAATCGGTAGCAAATAGGGTCCTCCAAAAAAGAATAGAAAGAATATGCCTCCCACACTGAGCAGCAATTGTGCAATACCCAGGGAAAAGAATCCTCCCAGCGCCTTTAATCGTTCTGGACTCAATTGGAGACCTTCCACAAACAAGAGGAATAAAATACCAAAATCACCAATTTCAGAATTGACTTCGGTACCACTCAAAAACAAGGAGAGACCATACGGTCCAGCCACGAAACCCAATACCAGGTAGAGCAGCACCGGTGTCACTCCCATAATTTTGGCCAGGGGATCCACCAACACGGCAACGGCCAGAAAGAGCAACAAATCGTGGCCGAGAAACTCGAGTGACTCCATTTCCATTTCCTTTGGAATTTCCACATGCTCGGATTCCGTCATCATATTTTGAATTTCGTTGGAAACACTGTTCATGAGGGAACCATGATCGCCGCTCATGGGAGCCGCAATGGCATCTGCCAGATGAGTGGTAGTGTCCCACAAGGAGTGTATTATTGCAGGTGAAAAGTCGGACAGTGGAGATAACTGAAGCGACGTCGGTGGCAGACGTCCCAGCGGCATTGGCATTTGGGGTATCCGATGATAATTCGAGACTGCATTTGGGTAGCTTACAAAAGCGGTAGGGGAATGAAAGCCCATGGTGGAACAGATAGATAACCTCTTCAGAGTCTTCCTCACACAGCTTCCTTCAATGAATGTCCTTCTCCTCTACAGCAACAACACGAAGTATGGTCGGCGGCGACATCTTGGCATTTTCTCGGTCATGTCCCCAAAGACAAAAGCAGCAGGTCGAGGCCTCTTTTTGGGGAGGCATTGCGTACGTGTTGTTCTGCTAAAGCACCACTGATATTTCGTCTCCCGGAGACGATTTGCTTTTAGGGGTAAGGGTACTTTTGGGGAGTGGAGGTTTGAATTATACCCCGCGTGCATTACTTAGAGGCCTCTGTAGAAGTCTACGTATTCGACTAGTATTGTATGACGGGATACAGTCAACGCATGTACATGCACATGAAAGTCGCCTTGCGTTCTTCACATGTTTTGCATGAATGACGAGGGAGCAGTTTCGAGGCTCGGGGCGAAGCTGAAAGGGATGAGCGCGCGGAGCGCGCGAATACTGTTTCAATAAAGGGAGTTAGGTGTTGGAATAAAAGATTTATGGAAAGGAGACGACCAGGGGGCATATGAATCCTTTCTGTCTGACACTCCAGGTTTCTTTGGATTCTCATGTTTGTAATTGGAGTGTTGTCGTCATCAGACGGAAGCCGAAAGAAAAAGATACATGTCCACGTCACACATTTGTTGGCTGCTTCTGGAAGAAGGAACGCTCGCGGTCTCTGGGACAAGATCTCATCAACCTGGACTCGACTCACTGGACTTATGGAGAGGTTGGAACGAAGTATCATCCACCCCCTGAAATCGAAATGTGGAAACGCGTAGATCTACCGCTACAGTCGACCACAGGACGAGGTGGTTAAAGTACACGCTGGCACCTTACTAAAAATAGCTTCGATTGTATTTTAAAATATCTATAAGGATTACTGACACGATATAGGACAGTCAAAAGAGTCGAAGGCAACCAGATATCGCAGCCAAAAACTCCACTTGGACCTGTATGGAATTTCAATCACAACACATTCATTCCGAGCACAAGCTTGGATTCAAAGAAAGAAAGTGGAAAAGACCGTCCACATTGTCACTAGCTGCCGCCAAGGCGTTGACCCACTCCAGCGGGGAGACTTTGCCCGACTCCGTCACGAGGCGTTTACGACCCCATTTGTTCAACGAGACAAAGAGTTGCATTCGCTTTACCGTCTCGAGCTCGTCGATCGTGTCCTCCCAGCCCTTGAAGCAAAGACTTTGCAATGTCATGTTATCTGCGAGCATGAACACCATGGATTCCTGGATTTGCTTGCTGAAAAAGCGATGATCACTGCCTTGTGGCGGATTCTGGATTGGTGGTGCTGCAACAAGATACTGGATTTGCGGTTGCTGCCGTGGCAGTTGCAGATTTTGCCCATGCCGCAGTAGGAGCCTACGCCGCTGTAGCCCACGCAACAATCCCGCAAAGTGTCTGATTGGACGATACTTCAAGGTAAGTCCCCGAAGGTTTTCATTGGTTCTTAATGCATCAATGACTAACGCCATCGCACCGTCTGCAGAGTCCCGAGCAATCGCACCATCTTCAAAGTCACAAACACGAATAAAGAGCTCTTCCAAGATGGCGTTAGAAAGGAGGATAGCACACAGGTACGAACAATCGAGTTTCTGTACCGTGACGGACAGAGTCAGGACCTTGATTGACTTGCTAGTCATGATCGCAGACATGATAGCGGGCAGACAATGCTCTCGATTCAGCAGGGAGTTGAATTCCAAACAAGTCAAGTTCGGCCGACTGCAGATTGTGGACAAAATGGATGCCAGCTCTTCAGAATCGGTCTCTTCAGGTCCAGCAACCCAACAAGACACGTCGATGTCAGTCAAGAGGGGTAGCTTGGCAATTGCTGAAAGCACAGGGACCATGTTGGTGGCGATCCGTTGTGCAGCTAGCAAATTGCATTCACGAAACTTGATCTGGGTGAGTGTCGAGAGTCCAGCTATTGCTTCGGCAAAATCGGTGTACCACTGCGTCGTCCCGTCAAAAAGTATGTCGTTGATTACGAGGCTTGAGATCGACTTGGTTCGCTCTAGCAAAATGGTCAAGTTCTGGAAATCAAGTGCACCGCCACAATAAAACCGACCATCACAAACCAGCTCTTTCAGAGATTGGATTTCCCCGAAGACTCCAACGAAGCGGTCCACGGCCGCAGCATCCACTAGTTCTTGAAAGACTTTCATGTCCAGCGACAAGGATTCAATAGACACTCCTTTGGCCGCCTCGATTGCGTCGAGTAGATCGTCAAAGTTCTGATTGCTGAAGCTTGAATGAGCATCGAAGGAATGAGATTTCTGGTTCTTCAACTGAACGCGGACTCTTTTGGGCCCAGCCGCGGAGTCGGTTCCATCGTGGTCTAGAAAGAATGTAACTGCCTTCATGAGGCTTTCGCTGTCATGGATCACAAGACAAGTCGTCTCGGGCGCCATTGTTCCGTTCATCGCCGATGTTTGAGCCACAAGTTAAGAGGAGTGATGAAGTATGATCCAAAGTACTACAGAGCTGGAGAGTGCGCTCGATCAAGTGCAAGCTGTTCAAAAGGTGGCAGCTCGAAAATTATGATCAGCTCGATTTCCTTCGAGGAGGTGATGATACTGGTGGACGTTCACCGTGTCTCGCAGTGGGCATACCCAACGCAGGAGTCCTGCGCTAGTCAACGCAAGCCATTTCGGTCGACACATTTCAGAGGGACCAACGGAGCAGAGTGGTAGATGTGTACCAAAACGCATTGAACAGCCAAAAAGTGGTAAGTGGCCAAACAAGGGAGATGACACATTCCACGCTTCGCTGAACTTCCACGATATCTACTACTAGTAGTCAATTGCGATGGTCTTCGCGAACCGGTGGATCTTCGCTTCGTACGTACGACTGTACCGTAATGCACCTCTCCTCCTCTCTGGAAGGCAGGCGATTTCAGAGATTGGGTTGATTGAAATAAATGCGTCACTCCAGCGATTCGCGCTAAGTCGTTCGCGACTCGCGCTATGTCGCACTGAGCGAATTAGAAATACTAGTATTTACGCTAAGAAAAACGATGTAAGTCGCGCGAGGACGCGGTAATGTCGCGCAATTTGTTCTATTTGCGCAGCGCGACTCGCGGGAAACTCGCGCAACGCGAATAGGAACGAATTTCAGCGATTCGATAGTTGAACTAGGGTTAAGGCCTAATCGGCTGCCTTCCTGGACCGTCTCACGTTTTCCTTTCAGGCTTTAAAACTTGACACGACTGAATCCAGTACAATTAAGGGCTTGTTTTTAAGGGCTTGTTGAAGGGCTTAATGAAGATTTAAGGGTTTGTTTTAAGGGCTTGTTTATTTATAGGCTTGTTCGCTCCTGATAATGGGTTGTTCTTTGGGGTGTACATTAAGGCTTAAGCATTTGTTTTTAGAACTTAAGGGCTGGTTGTTAGGGGCTTGTTTTTTAAGGGCTGGTTTAAGGGCTTGTTAAAGCTTTTAGGGCTTGTTTAAGGGCTTGTTTCCAGTGGTGGAAGTCCTGAGTGAAAACCGTCGGACGGTCCTGGACATCCGTGGAAACTCGAGTCGTGCTACCGATCGACAGCCGTCTTCTTCGATTCTGGTTCAACAGAACCTCCTTTGTACATGATAGCAAACTCATCAACCATCAACCGACAATTCAAAGACAGAATGTTCAGGTAGATGCGGGAATTAAATAGAAATCTGACCCAATATTTACCAAACCTACATGTAGACACTCCCAGATTCTGGGAGTGGGGTCTCCCAGATTTTGGGACTCTGAGCGTTAAAGTTACCGAATGGCGTTAAGTTTGCGGCCCGCGCCGACGAACATGAGCTGTGAGTTGTGAGAAATGGCGAACCGTACTATTTGTCGACGAAGCCCAAGTTCTGCTGAATGATGAGAGGGGATTTTTCTTAGGGACCAAAGGGGACAAGCGCTCCAGCTTCTCTGGAATCTTCAAGGGTTTGCTGGAGACACGAATCTCTGTTGCGAATCCAACTAAATTTCCCTTCCCAATTTTTTCGGGCACAGGAATGTCGATGGAGGGTTTGGAGAACGAAAAGACTTCTGGGAACAGTGCATTCATTAATTTCTTGCCGCTGACAGGATCTCAAGTGAAGGATTATTTGTCGACTTTTCTGCAACTTGAAAACGTCGATGAGAATGTCCGAAGACACGTAACAAGCTGGCTTCGAGGCAGGCCACGGTGGGCAGCCATGTTTGTGGAAGAGTATCTCGTTCAAACAGACAAGAGCTACAAAGAACCAACGAAGGGAGAGTTCACAGGGGACGACGCTGCCTTGATTGAAGCAATTGACTGTTACATCCATGACATGACCTCCAAACTCAGCGATCGTCGGAAGTCATGGCAATGTGGCAACAGAACTGCGTGTTCTCCGTTCGAGGAGTTTGATGCGGAAAACAAAACCCGAAAACATCGCAAATCACTCAACGAAATTGAAAGGGCAATTTACAAATACGCATGATTCGGGATGAAGCCCGATTTACTCAAGGAGAATGCAAAGATTCTGATCATGACAGGTGCAATACACGGCTCTTAGCCTTATTCGCGACTCGATCCTAGATAGGGTTTGAGTTCGACTCATGACTGAGTCTTTCGTGAATAGTCATTGAGACAGGGTTCTCATGACCGCTAGTCATACTAGGTCGATGGTGAAACATCGCGCTAGATATATAGCTGGCGTGGAGAGATTCCACGCTACTAGATAAATGCTAGACGAATCTTCCACGCGTTCCGTTTTTGGATCGTGGAGTGAGTAGGATTGCTACCGCAACCTACTCTATCACACTTTACAGTCTCCCGCGGGAGTTCAGATCTACGATCCTTTGATTGTGGATCTCTCTCGTTGATTAGTTTTCATAGGGTGTAAAATACTCGTTAGTTTAACAAACTATGGCCACGGAGTGGCTTCTGTGACGCGGGCAATTGGTGGGGAAGCCCCCACCTAGCTGAGTCGTCATCTACTTATTTGCCCAGTCAACATGACCTCATCCACTGGCCCAACGTGGAGCCAGCACCAAGTAGACAGATGCCCTGGGTAGGGGGTGAGCACATTGATAGGGAACCTGCAGCGCAAAACCTGGGTTACAGGGGCTTACACAGGATTTTTGTCGTATTGAAACCATTATCACCATAGGGACCGTGAGGACCAGTTAGATTGCCAGACCAAAGAGTGCTCGCCAGTAAGTGTGTCTGGGTGATCAGGTCCCAAGCTGTGGCAAGGGCCTTGGCATGCAAGGCAAGATGCCAGCAGAGCCCGTAGGAGGTGGTACTCCTCAGGCTGGACCAGAGCAGGGTGTAACCCATCCAATGCACAAAAATTGTTAGATAGAGGCCAACAAGCAGGCAAAAGATGGGGTCAAATGACACACTGGCAGTCTGTGGTTCCCAGAGGGAGGCACAGTGGCTGCTGGAGTGTTGTGGGCTGTTCGAGGGGTGTTGAGTCAATAGAAGGAGGATAAGGGGGCACTGGAAGTGGGCTGGTGCCAGGGGCAGGAGGGGAGACCTGTTGGTGTTGGAGTGTGTTGTAGGAGTTGGGATGTAGCATGGTTGATGGTGTGTTGTAGGATAGAGGCGTGCCTGTGTTCAAGGTGAGAACAAAGGCATCCTCTCTGATAGGGTAGGGTGTGATTCGGAAGGGTGTGATCCTCAAGATGGCTGCATCTCTAGGAGCTGTTGGCTGATCATGGGGAGTGGTGTTGTGAAGTCTGCGGAGGATGTGGATGTGGTTGGTTGGTGAAGTGTGGGAGTGGGGGAATGCTGGGAGGACCTTGGGTTTGAGTGGAGTAGTGGTAGACATGGGGAAGTCATGGTGGGTGGTGGGTGGTTGGTGGAGAGTTGTGTATCCTGGTGTTTGACTGTAGTGTCGTTGCTCAACCAAGCAATGGAGGTTGCTTGTGAGGTGGCGAGATGATTGATGTAGAAGGTGTATTCAAGGGGCAATGCATGAGGCACTGGTAATCAAGTGTTATATCAAGTTGTTGGGTTGTTGTGTCCACTGGATCAAAGGCTGTGGCCAAGTCTGGTGCAGTATACCACTACCTGCAGGAGAAGATGGTATCAGAGCCAAAGGCTGTTAGGGATTCTTTCAGGGAAAACTGGAGAAGTCACGCTATACCAGTAGAGGCAGTGGTGGGGGGATCAAGGGTGTTGTTGGTTGATGGGCTGTGTTACTGGATGACACTGTGTTGTCTCAAAGGCTGGTACTCAATCTTTGTAGGGATGACAATGCAACAGAGAGTCAAGCCAAGATGTGGAGAGGGTATCGATTCAGGTGGAACTGTGGAAAGTCACTGGAGAGTCACTCAACAATCAATGAGAGAGATAGAGTCAGTTATGTATTAAATCTATGCCACACCACGCTGCAGATTCTGTCTGGGGCTCAATCCTTTGGAGACCACACTCAGTAGGAGAGTCAGGTGCAGTAGCAGAGAGGTGGCTTTTCAATGAAGGTGTTGCACAATCTAGCCAAACACGCTAGAGGGAACTTTTGTAGTTGTTCTGTGGGGGTGAGATCCTTTGGAGAGGAGCTGGTATCTCAGGGAGGGGCTGAGAAACTAACAAATGCAGCCAAGCCTGAGATACAAGAACTCAAGTCCTTACAGGAACTCTGTTTGTTTTGTTGTTCCTCTTGGAGAGGAGTTAGATAATCAATGGAGGGGTGTAACAGTAGCAGGTGTCGATCAGTGCAATCAGTCTGTATAGGGATAAGGACTGGTTGGATCAGTAGGATCAGTTCCAACAGGACGTCGGGAGAAACCACTAGTGGCCGGTGAGAAAGTAAGAATACAGGTGTAATCTCTTCTGGTGGTCACTGCAGGTATCTCGTGAAGTCTGCTTGATGATAGGAGGTTTCGTACGGAGGAAGAGGTACGGTCGCGGGAAGATTGATCGATTCACGGAGTAGCGAGTCTTGGATTCGATTCGATTCGTTGAATCGAGTCGATTCGCGGTTCGGGTGAGTCAGGTGACAATGGGATTTCTTCGGCCGTCAGGAGCTTAGTTCAGAAAGCAACAATGACACGTATGGGAATTGTTTTCTGTACTGTGCTGTGGAAGGCCGGAGACTTCTTCTTGTGGTCAATTCTTAGGATCAGTTCCAACAAGGACGTCGGGGGAAACCCAGAGTGGCCGGTGAGAAAGTAAGAAATACAGCTGTGTTTCTGTTCTCGACGGTCACTGCAGGTATCTCGTGAAGTCCTGCTTGATGATAGTAGGCTGCGTACGGAGGAAGAGGTACGTATCGGAGGAAGAGGTACGTTCGCGGGAAGATTGATCGATTCACGGAGTAGCGAGTCTTGGATTCGAATCGATCGATAATTCGATTCGATTCGCGATTCGGATGAATCAGTTGCCTTAGGGGTAAGGTTAACCGATCCTATTGTTGTTGCGGAATGATGAATCGTTCGATCGTACGAAAAGGGTGACAAT